CAAGAGCCTCTGTGAGCGGCCATCCAGAGGCCGGCCACCGATTTGCCTCCTTCAGGAAGAGCGCAATGATAATACCAACATGGGCCAATGAAGCAAAGTCCTCCACAACTAGACTGAAGAACAAAAGGACGGCAACTTGTCTGTTCCCGTTCCCCCAATTCCCCAGCGCTGTTCCCCTCCCCCAATTCCCCAATAAAAATCTTTAAAAAATATATATATATATAGAGAGAGAGAGAGAGAGAGTTTATCACGTTTTAGTTGAAAAATAAACTCAAGTTTATTTTTGGCTTTTCTGGCAAGTGGGGCCCTTCAGGCAAAGGTGGGCCGCAGGCTTGGTTGAGAAGCCCCAGCCCTCACTAGTCATTGCTGGAAGGTCACATTCCAAGGGAGCTCTTTTCAAACGATCATCTCTGTCCCATTTGCAGTGCAAATCTCGGAGCACTTCCTTTAGCAGATGTATAAGCTGCTGTCCCTCTTTGCTTAAGCTGTCCCAGCTTCAGAATGCCCACTCCCCTGAAGTGACCAAGGGAACCTGGTTTTTCAACACAGCCTCTTGTTTAAGAAGATAAAGTGCAGCACAAAAGCTCAGCCGTCTCCATTTCTGACATCCGTGCTGCCAGTTCGTTTCTGTTCAGTGTTAACATTCGTGTTCTGTGTTTTACTTTGGGGGCAGAATGTAAGTACATTTTTGCATGTCCAGATTCCCATTTCCATCTTCAGAAGCAGGTGTACAGTTTCAGCGTCTGCCCTGAATGTGTGACCAGGGCTTAGAGGCCACCTTTGATACCCTGTTATATTGCATTTGTTCCTGCAGCACTGTGAAAGCAAGTCTGCTCAAAGAAGGCCCGATTAAAAACAAAATCTTCAAAATAATGATTTTATCTTCAAATACCAGTTCCATCACAGTTGTAAGAATGACCGCCACCACCCACTGAGCTCCTGCCCTGTCCAAGTGCGATGTGACAGACCCCTGACCCATGCTGGGCAGACCTGCCTCCCGGAGGGCCAGTGCCTTGCCAAGGTGCCACCGCTAGGACACGGCCCAGCTGGGACTTCGTCCTCACGCTGACTCCAGGGCCATGCTTTTCCCCTCTGCATCTGGGCATTTCTCATGCCTTAATTCCCAAGTAGAATTTAAAGATCCAAGCAAAATAATTTCAGCTAATTGGAATATTAAACTTTGCATCTTTTAAAGCCTGCTGATATTTTAGCTTTTCTCCGCTGACGTATTTACAGAGACAGTTTCCCCCCGTGACTCACCCCCTCCCCAAGGAAACTGCTGGTGCCCTTTGAATTTTCCAGGGTAACCTGCCCAACTCTGATTCCCTCTGACGCCCCAACACAGAGCCCTGTAGGCTGCAGCTGAGGAGGTCATCCGGCCCCTCCTCCCCCCTTACCTGAGGTGAGCCGTGAGGTGCTTGAGGCCGATCAAGTGTTGGATAACAGACCTTTCTTCTCTGTTCTTACTGTTCGGTCGGTGTTGAAATGCCAGTGATCTCTTCTTCCCAGGCACCGCTGGTGGGAATTTACCATGTAGCATAAATGATAGATTCATTTCCAGCAAGAGGTCAATTAACTTGTTACACGTTAATACATAGGTGAAATTATACAAGTGTGAGTTCTGCTTATTAACTGTAATTCTGTTGTAAAAGAATCCCCAAGTCCTGCCAATATTCCCTTCTTCATAGCTCTCAAGTCAGTCCCTTTCTCGGTATCTTTTTGCCCCATTCAGCCCAAAACCGAACACGCTGTACCTGGATGGCCATGGCCCTGGTCTCCCTGCCTCCAGGCCCTGGGAAACCAGGGCAAACACTCAAAAGCACAGTTTGACCATTTTCTTCACTGCCCCGCTTACAATCCACCAGTGGCCCCCTGAGCTGGTGAATCGCATTTGCGGCGTTTGGTCCTGCCCTGTGTCACTTCCTGGCTGCCCACTGTACATGACCCTGCCTGTTCAGTGATCCCCGGGAGCTGCCTCTCGCCACTCTACACTGGCGTGCTCGGTGCTGCCCTGTCGCACCCTTCTCCACGCCCCGCCTTTACCCAGCTGACAGCCCCTCCCACACCAGGCTAGCTACCTCTGCCTGGGTCTCCACAGCAGCTCCCTGGCACTAGCCTGTGACCCTGGCAGGGCCTGAACTGAGCAAAACTGCCCTTGTGGCCACCAAGCAAAACAGGGGTCCCCAGAGTGAGTGACCCCATGTCCCACGGCTCCGGCATGGGTGAAACACAGCCACTGATGTCAACCTGAGCTTACGCACTAGAGCTCTCCCTCGAAATTCCCCCCACAGAGCAAAAGGGGCGCTCTGCTGTGGCTGTCCCACTACCGGAACCGGAACCCGGCTATTAACATCTGTGGCTCTGTCATAGTCACAAAGGTCTGCTTCATTCAAATTCAAATACAAGTACTCCAGGTCACTTCTCTGTTCTCACATCTTCAGTGATGTGAACACTTTTACTTAATGGACAAACAAATCAGGCTTCAGAGGGACAGTCCGGGGTGGGACTCTGTTCCTGTCCATGTCCCTCTTCCTCCGCGGCTCTAGAATGAGCGCTGGGGGCAGGCGAGGGACCCATGCAGCCCCCAGCACAGCAAAATACAGAGGTGGGTGTGCGGTCACCTGGCTCACATAGGCAGCCTCTCAGAAGACTTGACTTGGGATGATTTCTTTGTTTTTCATGTGACTGTTGTGCAGATGAACCGCAGGCCTCCCCGCTGAGCCCACAGTTGACCCGCTCCAAGGGGACGGTGTCCAGGCTTCCCTTCCAGAGGCTCCCAGGCCGGCGCGAACTGCTTATCCCATATGCCCTGTATAATTTGGCTCTACCTAAAGCGTGCAGGAAAGGTTTTTAATGGTGTCTCAGTTGTTCAGGCGAAACATGCTCTAGCATCTTGAGGTTTTGTTTTGTCAGTGACAAGCGGGAGCAGGTGCTGTAGACAGTCCATGAGATCACTTATCAAAGTGGTCAGTGAACCCCGAAGCTTCAGGTCTACGGGCCCCCCTAAGACCTTCTGGTCCTTTTTAGCCCCAGGCCCTGGAGTCTGTGTCTGTCATGGCCAGGTGTCAGTACTGAGGCCTCCCAGAGGGGCTGTCTCTGTTTGTCCTTCACAGCGCCATGACCTTCATAGATGGCTCTGCTTGCTCACAGCATGGCCAACAATATATCCGCATTGTTCTTCCACACTGATGTCACCAGGACTCTGTTCCAGGATGGATCCTGTGAAGATGAAGGAACACACACACGGACATACACACAGATACATCTGTTGGTGTGAGATACACTTTCTTATCAGAAGCAAATCATTGATATATTAACAGAATGATTAGCTTCCAGCTTAGAATTTTGACATTTTAGTACCACAATTCAGAATCAGGCTAAATTTGTCAAGTGACCCAAAGTGAGGTTTTTCAGAAATTATTAGCAAATTTTTTCAATATAGAATTTATAGTCACAATTAACTCTATCATAATGATATTTCCGGGATAAAATACCAGCAACTCAACTTTTCTGGCCACAAATGTACAACATATATCAGTTTATATTTGGAGATCTGAAGAATTAGCTCCTGTAAATAAAAGTCCCCAAGAAGATTTCTCCGGGAAAGAGGTGAACTTACAGTAATATGGGTGATATATTATTAATTAATAACTATGACCAGCCACTGCTTCAATTAAAAGGACAGCGGATGAGAAGGCCTAATAGAAAGGACATGCTGAATTTTAATCTTATCAGCTCTGAGGTCTGCAGAGCAGGCCAAGCAAGGTTGGTACAGAGGCTGTGTACAGGAGGCCTGTATATTAGAGATGTCACCAGCTGCTGCTTTGGGAACATTTGCTGAGCACTGACCACATGCCTCTCAGAAGCAATGCTCCTTCAGTTGCCAGTAATGGAGACCAACTTTAGATTAAGGAGGAAAAGGGCTTTCTCTTTAAGAAAGAGGGGCTCACTGGGGTCTCCCAGCGCCCAGAGACAGCATATGCTGATGGGACAGGGACAGCTTCACATTGGACTGTGACAGGCTGGCATCCATGTCTCAGTTTAGAGAAGGGAATCTGATTGGCATGTCTGGCCCCAAGACAGGCACGGGGAGTGCAGACATGGCTGCAGGTGACATGAGGTCACACGAGTACGGTCTTTAGAAGTGTAGCTATGAAGACTTGCCCAAGGAGGTGCCAGCTGAGCTGAGTCACCCAGGAACGGCAGGTCTTTTTCAGACAGGTCACAACGAGGACATCCCAGGCCTGGGCGGGCGGAGGTGTGCAGCGCCGTGGGCTGACCTGTGGCATGTGAGGACAGTAGAATGAGATGAAGCTAGACCAGGAAGCAGTCTCCGCAATGACAAGGTTACTCCAAATGGTGGCGGGAAATGGGGGTGAAAGAGTTTGGACCTAGGAGAGATTTGTGTGTGCAGAGGACCTGACCCCTTGAGGTCAGTCTGCTTTGTGAAATGCCAGCTTTAGGGCACTCCCCTCCTCCCATCCATCCTTTAAGGGTAGAAATGACCGGGGACCTTGGGAGCAGCTTCCGCGCAGGGCCACGAGCCCACGACACCCCCTCCCAACAGGAGCCAGGGCCGTGGAGAAGGCTTGTAATAGCATTACCATCCGCCTTTCTCCTTCCTGTTGCTTGTTTATTTGACTTTAAGAACAGTTATTTTTAGAATAATTTGGAGTTAATTGGCCTTCTACCTTAAAAAATACCACTTTTTCCTTGTAATTATTATGTGGAAGTGGTCCATAAAGTCTTCCAAACGTGTCACTGCCCTGCACACACTCCAGAGTGGCATGGGATGTCACTAGCTATTTGATTTTTTTTTTTTTTTACTGTCCATTTTCTCTCTGGACAGTGATGAGAAAAATAAACTGGTAGAGTTACTTGCCACACAGTCTCCACTTGGCTCTCACTCCAATTGGAAGGATAAGAGGAGAGTAAATGGGGCCCTCCCTGTAGGTAACCCACCGGAATCCCCTCAACACTGCCTTTTCTTCTCTCTCCAGGCCACGCAATATTTAAACTCACGTATCTAAGCAATCATGACTATAAACACCTCTACTTTGAATCTGACGCTGCTACCGTCAATGAAATCGTGCTCAAGGTGAGTGTTGCCTCTCGGCCCAGGCACGAGATGTGCAGGGCTGGCCTCCACGCGGCCGGTTCTCATGCCTGGCAGCAGCCCCTCCCACTCCCAACTGGACAAGGCTCTCGCGCCCAGTTTTGCAGAGCAGGAACCCTCAGCTGGTGAGCGCCCGGAGCCACGCCACCGGGTCAGCTGCTTTGCACCCGCTCCGGCTTTCTCCCAGCACCCCCCATAATCCTGATGCTTCATGTGTTTATTTTTCCTTTTTATGCACCATTTCTTTCCTTCCATCTATTGTCAGGCACCCCTTGAGGCTCTTGGAACAGACTCCGAGGAAATGACTTATTATTGGAAGACACCTTAGTGTACTCAAGATAATTTTAGTAACCCGTTCTAAACTCATCCAGCTTTATGCTAGAATCATATGTTAGCATATCTCAACAATGCTCAGGGAACCTTTGTGTGCCAGGCCAGCACTTGAGATACTGCAGTGACAGACCCAGTCCCTGCCCTCGGAGAGCTTTTCCTCTGTCAGAAGAGACAGGCATAAGCATTATAGTCACAAGCAGCCTGTGAAGGGGCAGAGGCAGGGGCTGGGCTCTGTGGCCAGGAGGCTGCACCCAGGCCTGTGTGGCTGGAGCAGAGTGAGGTTGGAGGGGCCAGGCCACACAGAACCTTGCAAAGCGGACTTGGGCTGAGAAAAGCTCCCCTGGGGTCTTGTTGGTTTGGGAGGTCCGGGGTAGGGCCTGAGACTGCCTTTCTAAGGTGCTCCCCGGTGGTACCCAGGCCACTGGTCTGTGCCCATACTCTGAGTAGCCCTGGACTAGTGGTTGTCAGACTCTTTCAAACTGAGATCTCTCTTTAAAATGTAGATTGATCAGATAGAAAAAAACAGAGCTGCTTTGGCAGAGCAGGGCTGAGAATCAGAGGGGACTGTGAGCTGTGTGATGCCGGCTACTCACCTAACCTCTCAGGGCCTCAATTTCTCTGCCTCTAAAATGGGGATCATGGCAACCACGCTGCCCCAAGGCTGTTAGAACACAAAGCAAATGAGAGGTGATAAACCTTAGATGATGATTCATCCTCATTTTAGGAGTGGAAGTCATCAAGTAAGAATAATAAAAGCAGCTACGATACACTGAGGGCGCGCCATGCAGGGCCTGGGCTAAGCACTTTCCATGCCCTGTTTCACTGAGTCTTCACAGCTCTGCGATATAAAAAAACCATTCCCATTTCCTAGATGAAAACTGAGGCTCAAGAAAAAAAGTCCAATTAGCCAAGACCATGACTGGCAGACCCAGAACCTGACCTCAGGTTCAGCAGGTTAGGAACTTGTGCTCCTGACACCCCAGAGGTATGTAGTCTTAAGGGATTGAATGGGAGATGTCCACAAAACGGGACTGTTTTACAGAAAAGTTCTAAGGCAAAGTCCTCATGGCTACAAAAGATTTTCGGAAGTAGTGGATGAGTATGAAAAGGATAAAGCTTCCGGGAGGACTGTCTGGAGCCGAGACAGAGTAGCATGGTCGTTTGGATGGAAGGTCAGAGAGTTCATAGACCACCATGATCAGGGCGGCCCCTCCCGCACTGGAACCAGGCTGTGGGGACAGAGTGCTTGACACCAGCGAGCTAAGAGTTACTTTCCAGGCCGTCACCAGACAGCACAGAGCACTTGTGCAGCGTGTTCAGGGACTAGTGGAAGAAATATTCCATTACCCCGTCAGGGGCTGGGCTTTTTTTTTATCACCAGCATTAAAATATTCAAGACTTGAGAAGGATTCTAGTAAAATTATAATCCTGTGTTTGACATCAAAATAATTTTCACAACAGCAGATTGATGACAGAAACACAGCTTTATGACTTCAGTATGAGACTGGAAGAGCAAGTGCCGAGAAATCATTTTACAGAACCAAATGCTCCCCCGAAGCAGATGCCTTCCTGCAAAATCCCTGAGGCCTATCGCCTCCCCTAAAATGTCTGTTTTCATAGCAAAATGTTGGTAGAAATATTGCATCCTGCACGAGACTCCGGGAGACTCACAGCGTGCCCAGGCCTGATTTACTTAGCGAGCTAACGATCGTGATCCTGATGGAAGATTAAATTTCACTTCTCCCATCTGATTTTTATAGCAATTTAAATACTTAGCCTTGTCTGCCATTCCCACGGTGTCATTAGGAGCTTTGCCCCCACACCAGGTGACAGAAGACCCTGCCCCTGTGTCCAGGAATCTGGCACAAACGGTTCCATCCAAGGCTCTTCAGGGGTCAGTCTTAGACTTGAGGAATGCATGTGGTAGTTCTAGAATTCAGGAGTTTTCCATAAAAGGAGCACTTGAGACTGAAACTAAGGGCCAAAGGCTGATGCCAAAGAAACTATTATGAACAGGCAGCCCTCCGTCACATTGTTGTATGTCGCAGTGTGGAAGTATTAGTGTCTCCCATTTGTTGGGCACAGACGTTTCATGGACATTATCTCATGCAGTCTTCACAACCGTCCTGCAGTGTAGATGTTATTGTCCCCATTGTACAGATAAGGAGCTAGAGACCCAGGGCCGCAAAGCCGTAAGGGTGGAGCGTCAACCTGAACCCAGCCCTGCCGAGCTCCAGAGCCACCCTTCCCAGCCCGAGATGTAACAGAGCTAAGCCATGTGCGGTCCACAGGCTTGGAGAGGAATCCCAGAGGAATCATTGGTCTCTTCAAATCGGGTTCTTCTCGTGATCGAGTGATGGAGGCTCAGGCTTTATTGACCATGAAAACTCCCTATATTTTTATGCCTCGAGCTGTAAAATGTGTTGAAAGTGAAGCACTCTATAGTGCATAAAATTGTGCAAGTTTTAAGCCACAGCATATTAACCAGCTAATGGCAGACCAAAGGGCGTTTTTATCTTTTGATTATTACATTAATCTTCCATTAAAATTATCTATGTGATTATCACAAAGCACTGAAGATAATAAATTTAGGAAATAGTTGGCTTATTAAGGATCGTTTTTAAATGCTTTTGTCAAGTGATATGTGCCAAAAGTACACCAAAAACAATATAATGCAAAGATCGCTCTCACTGAGAGCAGTCAAACCTCTTCTTTCCATATATCGTCTGGAGTGTCCCGAATCGTCAGCCCGGCCCTGCGGTCCTCATGATTTATTGCTCTCAGCTGGTAACTTGGCGAGGCAGTGGGCCAAGCATGTCAGGCCTTCTGTCCTCACACACCAGCCTTTAATGCCTGCTGCTGGTGACTATCAGAGCAGAAAGTTTGGAGGGGACAGTGCCGGAGCCTCAGCCCCACGGGCGGCGTGCCACCCCGCACCGCCTGCCCCGAGCACCCTTGGGCTCTTTGTTAAAGGCAGCAGAGGCCTCTCCAGCTCGCTCTGGCACAGGACACGAGGCCCTCAGAGTAGAAACAGAGGTGGCTGGTTTCTCTGGCCAAAAGTACTCAGGTTCCTAGTTATAAGTTTTATATATTTGAGAGTGAAGAGACATGGTGTTTGCTCATAAAGAGCTCCAGCCAGAGGACCTGGGGACAGAGGAGGGGCTGAGGGGCTGAGGGGTGTGGGTGCCTCTAAGGAGGCCGCACCCGGAGAACCGGAACGTATGGTAATCAAGGGCCTGACCACCTGGTCCGCATCCTGGCCCAGACACTTACTAGCTTTGTGACCTTGGGTAAATGACATGACCATTCTGTGCCTGATTTTCTCATCTGTACAATGGGCATGGTAATGACATCCCTTTCGTAAGGCTACTGTGAAGGTTAAATGAGTTAATCCTTGAAAAGCACTTCAGCATTGCTGCTGCTACCACTGCTGCCCAGCCAGGGGCCCGTCCACAGAGCCACTGCCCCTCCCGGGCCCCTCCCTGCCTCATCCCGACTGGCCACGAAGCCTTTGCAGTTTCGCAGACACCCCCTTGCCGTGTCCCAGTGCTGTGCCTTGCTGCATGCTGGTTCCCTCCTTTGTACACCCAAAGCTCCTGTTTATCCCTCAAAACCCAGCTCTCATTCCCTCTGCAAGCCTTCCCTACCCCACACCTCCTGAGAGTTACCTCCATTCCTTTGTGCTCCTTCTGCGTCTGTTGTTGAACTTGTCATGTTGTTGGACACTCACTAAGCTGTGAGCTCCGCAGGGGACAGACCAAGTCCTACTTTTCCTCTCTGTCCCTTGAACCAAGCATGGGGCCGGCTCAGACATGGCAGGTACCAGTGACAGCGACTGTATGTGCGGCAGCCACCCAGCATGTGGTGGGTCCTTAAGTAGGGCTAGAAAAAGACCCCAAGAGACGGAGGAGAGCGGGAGCAGCAGCGTGCGGAAGGCCAAGCTCCTTGTCAGAGCCGTAGCTGGGAAGGCAGCCAGCTGTGCACCCTTCACATGGGGCTTTGGCCGTGACCTCTGGGTGACGATGCTGGTCAGCTCAGCTTCCCTGAGCCTCATTTTCCTTTTTATCAGATGAGCCCTGGCTGGTGGGGAGCTTGTGAGCGCTAAATGAAATGCCGTGGTTGGAAGCTCTGTACCTGCTGGTAGGAGGCTGAATGCGGAGCCCTGTTTTAGTTTGTGTTTCATTCTGACGATGTTCTCGAAAGGGGAGCTCAGGAAAGGTAGGCGCAAGCCCAGCGCACAGCCTTCGGGGAGGAAGCACGTGTGTGCAGGGAACGCAGGCTCTGGAGTCAGCCAAGCCCCCCCACCGACCCACCGTACCAGCCGCTTGTCTTCTCCAAGCTCCAGCCCCAGCCAGCCAGGTTGCTGTGATGTGTGGACCCCAAGCGCAGAGAGCCCGAGGGCCCCCAGCCCGGCTCAGGGCCCCCAGCCCGGCTCAGGGCCCCCAGCCCGGCTCAGGGCCCGCGCCTTCTTCGCCCTGGGCGAGCAGAGCGTGGCTGCCCGTGACTAGGCTGTGTCCTCTTGCTTTCCAGGTTAACTACATTCTGGAATCACGAGCGAGCACCGCCCGGGCTGACTATTTTGCTCAAAAACAAAGAAAACTGAACAGACGTACAAGCTTCAGCTTCCAGAAGGAGAAGAAGTCAGGGCAGCAATGACACTGGCCTCCAACCTCCATCTGTTGCCGTAGCTTAGAGCCTGCCTGCCAGGGCCAGGTGGCCCGAGAGCCGTCCCTGTGTCCCAGTCCTCGGGGGGAGGCCAGCCCCTGGCTCACTGGCACAGGGCTGGTGGGCTCTTGCGGAAAGGGCAGCACCCCTCAGAATGGAGCTGGGGACATTTCCACGGGACCGAAGCCTGAGTGGCAGTGGCTGTGAGAAGCCCTGCCCAGGGGCCAGATGACACCGAGAGGAGCCACGCGCTGCCCAGCCACCTTCACTGCCTGCCGCCCCCTCCCCCCCCCCCAGGATGTACATAAGCCTTGCCCAGACATTTCCGTGCAACTTGATCAAATTTCTTAAATGAAGAACAAAAATGTAAATTTCTTTTTTCCTTTTAATAAACAGGTGTACCCTTTATCACGGTTGGTATGACGGACCATTCTTTGGGGCAGAGGATTGATTATGTTATTCACTTTAAAATCTGTTCCCATATTGAACAGGCGGATTGGAAAAGCTATGGCTCGATTTCTCAGAAGCGATGTTTAGGGCTTAGTCAATAGTTTTAACTACGCCATTTGTTTAAATGAGCACATTGCTTTGAGGATAGTATCTTACTAAGGTTAGGAAGGGGACGTAGTAATGCATGTCCGAGCTGCACCATTTTCCCCTTAGAAGCCACCTCTGTTCAGCTCGCCCCAGCACCTCTGATTTCAGAGACGCAGGCCTGCATGTGATGCTCGGGGCCCGGGAGAAGGGGGTCGGCTGGCCTCCAGGGCGGGCTCAACTCCCAGCCGGAAGTGGTCTTCCCGTTCCTTAAGTAGCAAGTGTCCGTTTCAGCTAGCCCTCAGACCTGCGTGTGAATTTTCCTGGAAGATGCTGCCGTGCTGCCTGGGAAGGGCCTCAGCTCCCTTTCGTCCCCTTCTCCCAGAGCCTGCCTCCTTGTCTGAGGTGGCTGGAAGCTGTTTTCACTCCATCAGGGAAAAGACACTGGGCAGAGGGAAGCCTGCTTCCACAGAGGGAGGCAAGGGACGCGCGTCCACTGGCATCACACCTCTGGCCACACCACATGCCTCCGCGGTCCTCACCAGCCTCCAGTGTCCTCTCACACTGTCCCTGGCCAGGGTCAAGGACCAGCTGTTTCACTGAGGACCTGCATTTCAAACAGTTTTTTAAATTGTTTTACAGGAAGAGATGTGACCAAAACAGCATCTCCCAAGTTGAGTGTATTTCTTTGCACAGGAGTCATTTTAATTAATTCCTCTTTTATTCTGATCTTTGTTCAGCCAACAGAAACTTCCTTTTTCTAATGTCTTCCATTCCCAGCCACCCCAGAAACAAAAGAAATATTATTTGTAGCTTGCTATCTGTATTTGAATTTTTAGCCGTTTTATATTTAGATATCTTTCAAAAATGTAAATGACTAATTTGGTCATTAAATCCTGTGACATATTCAATATTAAAATGATCTTAAAATAAAAGTCATATAAATACAATCTTTGGCGTGTTGCTTCGATGTCTTCAAGTCTTGAGTACATCACCCCGAAGATGGCAACTCTACAGGGAATCACTGGGCGGCAGTCGGCGTGATACCGAATGCCTGAGAAATGCACCGGGGGCTCCTTCAATCCTGAGCAAGACACGATGACCCTCTTCACTCAAGGGTGACATCGAAATCACCACCTCCTTCAGTTACAAAGTCCACACCGTCCTCGTATGGTGAATTATAGCACACATGCAGTTTCCATAAATCCTGTGTCCACTTGAAGGAGTAATTTAAGGGAAACAGTGTAACCACCGCCCGGGTCAACCGAATATCAGGACTATTTCAATTCCGTTTTCCCTCAGCCCATCTCGCACACCCATGCCTGGATTTTAAGATAAGACTGTGAGCTCCTCAAGGGTAAGCTTCACAAAGTAGCAGGAGCTCAGCACCCCGAGTTAAACTGCAGTGACCCGACAGGCCCCACTTCTAATTTCCAGCAGCATCTCCTGACCTGCCTCCAGTGTGACCCCCACCCCACCCACCCGTCGTGTTAGTAACTCACAACCAGGACTTTGCCAAGTGTGGGAGCCTGCCAGGCCTGGAGCCCTGGCCTCAACTGGCCCCTGAAAACCACCCGCCTTGGTCTGAGGGCCTGCTGTGTGCCAGGCAGACTGTGTAAACATGCATGAGCCTATGTGACGCCCACAGCCAACCTCTGGCAGGTCCTGTCATTACCTCCATTCCAGAAGTGAGGACTTGGGGCTTGCAAGGGTCTCACCTTTCATCCGGGACACATCATGACTCTTGCCCAGCCGTGCTATTAACCATGGCTCTGCCCAGCTCCACAGCTAGTGGCTCTGTGGCCCTGAGCCGGGCACCACTTCCTTGGGGCCTCAGTTTCCTCATCTGTAAATGAAGATGCTGGATTAGGCCACCTCTGTAGATCTTTCTAGAGAATGTCTTAAATGTCTCCGAATCACAGGGAGCCCACCCTTCCTTCTAGTGGTTTCTGTTTGCCAGAATTTGCAGGAGCTTCTCTGCTTCTGAACAAGAACCCTAAGAGCCGAGCAATACTGTGCGGTCATTTGTCCAGCCTCCTGTCCTGGGGCAGTAAGTGCATGTTCCCTCCCCGAGCCTTTGAGCCCCCGCTTGCATACCTCCAGCGACAGGGCGCTCACTGCCATTCAGGTCAGTGCTTTCCCTTGGCCCATTTGGTCACTCCTGGCTGACCCTTTCTGGCGGCCTGGCTCTGCCGGCCTCTGCATGTTGGATTCCTCTTTCCACTGAGCAGCAGGCAGCTGCCTCCGAGCACCTCTCCTACCTGGGCCCCAGGACCAATGTCCCCGCTGCCCCAGAAGGCCCATCAGCTGTGTGGAGACCACACTGACATCCCTCTGAGCTTCATGGGTTAAAAGCTGGAAGATGGTCCCCACCCCTTTTGTGACCCCGGAAACCTGCCAGCTGCTGCTTAGGGCTCCCATCGCCCGGGTCAGGGGTTCAAAACACCAGGGCTGAGAGGGGAGCAGAGACCCGGCTTAGCTGTCAAGGTGAGGCCAAGAGGTGGGCGATGACCCCCAGGATGCACTGCAGTGAACGCCATGCAAACCCTGGGGACCAGCGTGGGCCTGGAAGGTGCCAGCAGCGAGGACGGGAGGCAGGAGCCTGGACTGTGCTGCAGCGGCCACACCCAGCTGGGGCCGCCACGTCAGGCCCTCACGAGCCCTGTTGGGGTAGGACAGTCACAGCTTCTTGATGTACCCCACACACTGTGCGGTCTTCCCCTCGGGGAACCCCAGGACACCAGTGACGAGGTCAGGCACTGAGCCAAGGATGGGGTGACATGGGGCTGCAGCCTCCCGGGTGAGAGGAAAGCCCCACCTGCCCCAGGAGGGAGACACAGGGATTTTTCCACGACCAGGCCCGGGCACAGCATCCACAGCGTTCGCTTCCCAGCCAGACCAGGATTGCAGCTTTGGTGTGAGCTGAAGAAGCAGCCCTGAGATTGGTGAGGGGAGCCAGACGTGGGGAGAAGGAGTTTGTGCCTCTATCCAAACCAGCCCTGCCCACGCCCCGCAGCCTGTGGCACAGGCGCCTGCCCCCTGACTTGCCAGTGCTACCATGGGGTACTCTCCTTCCTGGAGGGAGGGAGGGAGGGAGGAACAGCAAGAAGAGAAGGAAAGAGTGGGGGCTTTGCCCAGCTCAAGGTCAGAGGCCTCACGGTGCTGACCTGGAGCCAAATCCCGGCGCCCTGAGCTCTGGTCTGTGAGCTCGAGCATTCACACCATGAGCTGGGGATAAGCCATGGGATCCCACCGCTCCAGTGGGCACAAGTCGGTCCAGGGTGGGAGGGGCCCTGGTGCGCAGGCTCAACGGCCTGGTTCCAATCCCTGCTTACCAGCCTTACCACCTCTCGGTAAGTGGTTAACTTCTCTGTGCCCCCAGTGTCCTTGTCTGTAAAGTGGGAGGGAAATGCCCACTTCTCTGGGCTGGAATCGAGATTTAATGAGACAATATGTGCACAGTGCCTGGTACATGAACACTTGATAAATGATAGCATGATGTTGACGTCTGTCATCTCACCTAATCCAGTTACCTGGATGCCATGTTCTCCCCTCGTGGTGCCCTCTCTAAAGGGGGCCCAGCTGTGCTGAGCTATCCCCTCCTTGAGTTTCAGAGCCCAAAGAAGCTGCCCAGGGCAGCTGCCAAGACCAGCTTCCTTGAGGCCCAGGAAGGAGGACACACAGGACCCAGGCCTTGGCCCTCTGCCCCAGGGTCAAACAAATGGCTTTTTTTTTTTAACATTTTATTGGGGAAGGGGAACAGCCAAGTTGTTGTCCTTCAATCTTAGTTGTAGAAGGCACAGCTAGCTCAGCTCCAAGTCCAGTCGCCATCCAGCTGCCCGCCAGCTGCTCGATACCGCTCAGCTCAAGGTGCCATGTTCAATCTTAGTTGTGGGTGGGCGCACCCACCATCCCATGCAGGAGTCAAACGGAAACCTTGTTGTTAGGAGCACAAGCTCTCACCAGCTGAGCCATCCTGCCACCTGTTGGCAGCTCAGCGGCAGCTCAGCTCGGGCACAGCTCACTGGCCCATGTGGGAATCAAACCAGCAACCCTGTTGCTCAGAGCCCACGCTCTTAACCAACTGAGCCACTCAGCCAGCCCCAAACAAATGGCTTTAAATGGATTCAGGCCAACGTTGTTCTCTACCTTAAACTTGATCCTAAGCGGGAACGGCCATGAAGTCACGGACCTGATGTGCTGCATATATGTTTTCTCGTGCTCATTTAAATAAACACATATAACTGTTCAAATCAAAAACATCCATCCGCATATCCCTGAAGTCATGTATATGACCACAGTGACACCTGCCACACCGGCAGACATAAGCTAAGTTAGCATTTCTAGTCCTTTATCAGTACCTGCCTCCTGCCTCTTATTAAGCTCCCAATTAAGGCTTGTTTCTATTTTATTGCTTTCTCAGCCCATCCTCATGCCCACCTAATCCTCATTTCACAGATGAGGAAACTGAGGCCGTGCAGTTGGGAAGTGGAGTCAGCTGCTCCCGAAGCTGTCCCCTGCCCTCCGGGGCCTCCGTCTTGGCCGCTGCGGCCCAAACGCCATGGGTCCTGAAGGCTCCATCAAGGCCCCGCTGGGAGGCCCCTGCTGGCAAGCAGCCAAGGAGAAGGAAAGGGTTAAGCCTGTCATGTTGTGTTCCCACCAAACACCTCTGCTTAAATGCAAAATCCCAGTAGGGTGGTGTTTGCTATACAAGCCCTAAGAGTGATTTGTGAAGTCTCGAAGCCCTGTAATCTCGTCAGCATAATGGGATTATATTTCAAATCACCACGGCCTGTTCATTACCCATTTAAACTCCTCTGACAGAGGAAAACTTACATAAAACGTGCACGGCAGCCCTCGCCGACTTCTCTGCTCTCCTCCCTGATTAGACAA